ACACTTATTAATGCCTTATTCTACATTACCATATTCTACAAGTAATAGGCCATTAGTTGAGAGTTTTTCCTCAATAACCCTCTAATTAGTGCTTATTTATTGCAAGTAAGGAAGTTGTTGTACATGAGTTTTGGTCTTAATATGCTCTGCTCAATATGGGCCTAATAAGGCAATAGTACCACAAGAATAGCAATTATCCCATAATAACACTTAACAAATATGATCTATTCTTATGTAAAAAGACATGAAACTATAGGCCTAAGTGTTAATTGTGTCTAAATAACAAAAAAGTAGGTATTTATATGTAAGAATATGTTTTGGGGTATTGACAGTTCAGATTCCAATAGCAAGGTGATATTGACCTGTATGTTTAATATTTGCACATTTATATTTTTGTAACATTTGTACTGAATGTTAGACAGGAAACCGGGTACAGGAAGTAGGAGAAAGTGAACTGAATAGTATAGCTGTAAACTACTACTAATTTTCCCTATGCAACCTGAAGAGTAAAAGGGTCAAGTCCGTCAGAAAGCAATGACTGTAAGTGTAAGCTTTACACTTACACTGTAAGGATTAGTAACATGTGTTGTGTTTATCTGATGACATTTGGAGATGTTTAAACTCAATGAGAAAATGCGTTAGCATTCGCGTTAGCATACACGCTAGCGTTAGCCATACTAGCCTGTATACATCCTTATTGCACAGCAAGCATATATTTACCTTGTTTACACTTAGCGGTCCTATGTGTTAATCTGTGTATGTTACACTTGCATGTATGAGATCATTAAGTGCCTTGTAACTTGTTTTTGTTATAGTTTCACTCCGTTTGAATGTCAGTGGACTGCAAATAAGTCAATAAAGGAGCATGGCTGCTCATTCCCTGGCTCTCAAAATAGTTTGGCTGGCTGTTTAATCTATGCTCACACTGAGACAGTACAACACAGAGAGAGAACAGTACACCTATTGTGTAAGTACATACAAGCAGGTCACACAGTATGATCACACATACATAAACTCTGTTAAAAATCAGTTTTTAGAAAAAAGTACAGGCTGCATGTGTTCTCAGTCTTGGAGAAACTTGACATGTTTTGGTATGTGTGTCTGAACCTCTCTTTAGTGGTTCATTAATACAACCGATATTTCAACGTGTGCCTACTTTGTTCATGTACTGTTGAGGTTAATTTCAGTAGTTGTGTGCTATAATGTATTTACAAAGTGTGAAGAGGAGGCAACTTTAGAATAGGGAACCTGTTCAGGTCAATCAAATAACCAGCTCGAGTGCGCTAGAATTTGAAAGTACACAACCGGGAAAAAAAAAAATCTGCCTCTTCCTTCGGACTTCCTTACCTCCTCTTCCACAGATTAATTTTTTGTATGTATTTATTGCAGGCCCGGTTCTACGGGAGTGCATAAGGGTGCATTGCACCCTCAGTTGAGTCGTTATGCACCCTCATTTGAAAAATTAAAAGTGAGAAAAAAAATATTAATTAAAAGTGAAAAATATTACATATATAATAATAGTAGTAGTAGTAATAATAATAATAATAAGAAGAATATAGTGGAAATAAAATAAATTGGAATTGTGGTTAAATAACATTGTCTGCTGCATTTATTTGGTCAATTTAAACGGTAAGTAATAACGTTACTGTAACGTTATTATGTCAGGTGCGCGTGACCTGTGCCCCTGCGCGTTCGTCATTTGCAAAGTGCTTACACAGCAGTCAATGATGGAGATCAGAAAATGGTTAAAACAACCAGCCCTTATTGCCAGCAGTAACACGTAATAACAGTTCAGATCATGGGTACATTACGTTACCTGCGGCCACTCTCGTGGACACTAACGCCCGACTCACCGGCTTTGCCCGCCTCGCCCACGGAGGCGGAACAGCCGGCAAAACAGAGCCTGCCCAGGTATATTTAAAAAAGTACCCAACTCGCCTGTACAGTGGGGTAAGGCGCTCATTTTGCAGCTCATGGTTTCAAAACAGAGATTGGCTGGAATATTCCTGTAAAAAAGATGCCATCTTCTGCATGTAGACATTTCAGTCTTGAAAGGGGAGTGATTTGTAAAATATCCATAAAGAAATAGTAAATCTGCTTACAGTTCTGTTTCATATGGGTGTTGAGATGTATCCATAGTTCAAACAGGAGAGACGTGATGTATGAAATACATGTTTATTACCGGACACGTGGTATAGAAAATTATGATTGACAGATTACAACAATGAATCAACTGATGTTTGGAGATTAGGCCCCGGTTTGTAGGATAATCATTCGGGAGGGGAAAACCGCTCCGATGAACCCCCCGGGGTCTAGACACTGGTGGTGGTGATAAGTGGTTTGGTCTGGTCTGGAGGAAGAAGGATTAGCTTGGCCCTGAATTAGGAGACAGGAGGCGAAGGGGTGGAGGCGGGTTGTGCGTTGACACCTGAAATGACAACTGACAGAGAGGGAAGAGCAGATTTAAAGGGTTTAGCAGGTGCAATGATTGCTAGCTGGGGAGTACCGCCCCTGATTACTTAATGGGAGAGGAGCTTGCAGTGACGTGTAACACCAGGGGTATGGTCTTCCTTCTTGAACTTGCGCTAAGCTTCATATCTCTTCATTTTGCTCTCAAAGTGCACCAGATTGATGCTTTTAATTTCAATATTTAAAAAAAAAAATCTTCCTGGGGGAGCATGCCCCCGGACCCCCCTAGAGGAGGTGAGGACCCTCTAGAGAGTGTTAGGTCCACTCCCCACTTGTAAAAATAGCACTTTACCACTGCACCCTCTAGTCTCAGATGCACCCTGAGTCATTTTGTTCTGGAACCGGGCCTGATTTATTGTCAAAGCATTTCCTATTATTCATTGCTATCGGGATGTTAAGAGCATTCCATGGAATATAAGAAAAAGTGTTTCTGAAATAAATTACATACCCCACTTTTAATTAACACTTATAGTTTCATGTCTTGTTACATAAGAATATATCATATTTGTTAAGTGTTATTATGGGAGAATTACTATTCTTGTGGTACTACTGCCTTATTAGGCCCATATTGAGCAGTGCATATTAAGACCACAACTCATGTGCAACAACTTCCTTACTTGCAATAAATAAGCACTAATTAGAGGGTTATTGATGAAAAACTCTCAACTAATGGTCTATTACTTGTAGAATATGGTCATGTAGAATAATGCATTAATACGTGTGTTATAATGCCTATTAAAGCGCCAATATACTGCTAATATGCATGTTAATTAACAACTAGTTGATGGTGAATTTGTGTACCTTAATATAAATGTTACCAAATCTACTTTATGATACTTGCTCAAACATATCTTGAAGCCATACACATTAGAAATGAGGTGGATGTGTCAAGGATGAGCGAAGCAGGCAGGACCCTAACGCAGATTTCTCAGAAAAAGCACCTTTATTTCAAGGCTATAAAGAAACAAACAGAACTCTTCCCAGTGAACACAGTCAAACAACAACAAGGAACTAACAAAGACTAACAGAAAACACAGAACCTAAATGCACACATGACTAATCAAACAAACAAGAGACAGGTGAGGAGGGAGGAGAAAACACAGGGGCACCAGGTGAACACAATCGGGTAATCAGGGAGGGAAAACAGACAGAAACCAACAGGCAAAACAGGAGGTGAACACTTCTTCAAAATAAAACAGGAAACCAAAGACAGAAAAAGACAAAACACAACACAGACAGATCGTGACAGGATGTGTTTTAGTGTTTAAGTAAATGCCATTTTACCACAACTTTTTTGCTTCTGCTCCATTAATTCCAATATGTATACCAATCTATGTAAACAATACAAAATAAATAAAAATACTATGCATTTGAACAAGATCTCGTTTGCGGGGTTTAACACAATAATGAACTAAGATGTTTTTAGTGAATTTGTGTGATAAAGCTGTGAAGCAGGTTAAGCCTAGCTTGAAGGAATGCTGCATTATGGTGACTGTTTCAGAGACATACAGATGGCGTGGCTTATAAACCTTCTGTTTTAATGACACAGCCAGCAGCAGCCTAGAGGCCCCCTTAAAAATACTGGCTCCATATTTTTTTCACATCAACTTGGGCTGTGGGACAATTATATGCACACTCAGTCTTCATTCAGGACACAGTTAAACGTGTCATATGTTTGTATCCTATATTTGCTGTCAAACTTTTCTCCATACACATTATGAGTTCATCCTATTTTACAACACCGCTGTTTCAAATGGAGAGATGTATTTCATGAGCTGGAATGTGTGACGTCACTCAACCAAAACAGGGGCACAAGCTCTGTAAATAGCCCCCCTCAACCACAAGAAAAACACACCCAGTGATAGTCACAGTAGCTTTATGGGTTTACTCCACTACATAGATTGTTTATGAGATGCTGGAAATGTCCAAAAAGTATGAAGAGTGCCACAGGCCTTCCTGGATGTATCCTAAAATAATTCCATTCCCTATTCCCCACTTTATTTTTCCTCTAAAAGTAAACAAAACCCATAAACCATGGTTGGGGAAGTATCAAGAAGATCCCTATACTATATGGCAAAAATAGACCAATCAGATCTTATTTGGTCCAACTTAAAGTAATTGTTAGGTGGAATCTTATGTTAGTGTTGTAGGCTAAAATCTCAATAAAGTAGAAAATGTAGCTGTTAAACATATGAAGTAAAAAAGTACATATTTCAGTTTTTCATGAAATGGAAACACTTCAAAAATACCAAATGTGTATGTTTAGTCGGATACCTCATAAATGTAAGCTGAATAAGATTCTACGCAAGAAAGAAAGTGTTTTGCTGACTCAAAAAGAAGAATGACTCAACAACTCTTGATATTTCTATTAATAAAACGGATGTATTGGAGGGGATTATGCTGTTAAGACATGTAGTTATATTTTAGCTAACGTTACTCATTGTATGATTAATTAAACCAGAGCTGGACTTCAACTCCTTGTGGCTCAGTTTGAGCTCTGCCCCTTTAAAAACAAACGATTCTCTGTTTTCAGACCGGTGGCCACGTACGGCTCCGTGCTTCAACGGTGATCCCACGGTCTGGTCGTTAACAATAGGCTACTACTTTTATCGTCGACTTTAACGACATATTAGATATTTGAACTACTTTAAAACACTTTTTGACAGAGGTGCGGAGGGTAAAGTTGTGAATGAAGGCTCCCTGCTGGGACTGTGAAGCGGGAGGAGGGGAGGGGGCAGGGGTCGTCCAGGCTATCGGATCTGGGATCTGCTCACATTTATAAGCAGACAGACGGCAGCTTGTTCGCGGCAGAGCTGGACGGAAGGACAAGTTTCACCGAGGAGTACGCTGGGTTTTAACTTTGAGTTATTGACGCCGGACGTTTACAAAAAAGGACGTTAAAGTTTGAGACAAGTTTCCCGCTGGGTCCGGACCCTCGTCTCATGTCAGAACAACGAGTGGCTGGACTGTAAGCTCCTGGAAATATCACTCTTTTCACTTGTGACTTAACTTTGCGTTCGCCTCTAAACACAACTACGTGTACGTGTTACTTCACTTCATTGACTGGGACACAACGTATCTTCAAAAATGGATAAATACGAGGATTTTGGACTCGAGGCGAGTAAGTTTATCGAGGACTTGAACATGTATGAAGCATCCAGAGATGGTTTATTTCGCATGAGAAGGGACGCAGGAAATAACCCAGACTTTGAGGAGACACGAAAAGTTTTTGCCACTAAAATGAGTAAAATACACATGCAGAAACAGCAAGAGGAGATGGCAAAAAACAACCAGGCAATTAGAATGAATGGGGGCCACAACAGCACATATTACACCAAAGACAGACCGCCCATCAACAGTTACAGACAGCCGTGTGAAGCGGCGGCGAAGCCCCCGATCCTCTCTGGCCCCGTGCCGGGCTCCACGGCTGGGACTCCGTACGCACAGTTTGACGGCCAGAAACACCTCGCAGCCATTCAGTCTGAACCTCCAGTCGGCAGGACGTATGGCTACGGAAACAATTACGACAATAAGGAGCGCTTAGAGCCACATTCATACCAGCAGAACATCCCTACTCCCCCTATCCCAGGAAACGCGTCTCACAGCGCGCCCACACAAGCTCGTCACCCGGCCAACCAGTCGGCTGCCTGGGCCCCGTCCGCAGAGAGCCAGCTCACCCTGTCTGGGATTGGGGGCAACAGCACATCTCAGCAGCAGCCCCATTCTGCACCTCCCACCGCCAACAGTCTTCCACCTCAGCAGAAACAGGCTGTCACCCCGTCTGGACACCTGAGCCCCCCCTCATCTGCTGGTCCTGCCAGGGGATGGGTTGTTGAGCCCTCTGCCTTAGCCAAACCTGACCTCATCCCAGGCCTGGCTCTGAGTGCCTTCACTGCAGGAGCTGACTTGCAGAAGCCCTCCACACATTCTGCTGCCCATTACGCACCATCTTCTCCAACTTCAAGACCCTCGACCGGCTATAATGGTGCTTTGTCAGCTTCCTCGCTCATACCTGCACCTTTTGAAACATCTTTACCCAAATCACAGGTGGCATCTGCTGCCTTGATCCCTGGCAATGTGTCCAAAAGCTGTAGCCAGGGTCAAGGTCAGAGCCAAAAACCTGTCTGTGGACATGCCGTCGGTGCTGAAGTCCCCTGTCTCACCAAGCCTGTCCAACCACCCTGCCAGTCCCATCTCACACAGCCCCCTGAACAGGGGCCTTCTGCAGCTGAAATCAAATTAGAAGCCCTCACCAATCGGCTGGAAAAAGAGATGGATGCCCAACCAAAGGATGACTACTTTGGTAAGACAGTTAAGCATCTACTAGTATCCAGATACAACAAGTGGCTTCTGTCAGTTATGCCATTGCTGTAAAATGCATTGAACCCACCCTCATTACAGAACATAAATCCACTTGTTTTTGTATTTCATGTTTAAACATGCGCACACTGTCACCCTTTGTAATACTTCTTCTTTGTTTCCACTACACACAGCTACACACATTTATCCTCTGTGTTAGTGTGTGTCTGTGGCTGAATCAGGAGTTGTTTTCAGTCTGTGTTTAGTGGGATTATTGATAGTCTTTGTTGATAAAATAGCTGATTTATTGGGCAGACACTGAGAGGCCTCTCTCTTGTTTTCTTCTGTGGAATGCAGACAGAATAATTTTCCAATTTGTTTCATGTCTTTTTTAAATGATTCATTGTCTGCCCTCTTGGCACTGAATCAAACCCTTTGGCAGTAGAAGGTGGGGCCAAGGCCAGTACCCAGAGATTTGATGGTTTTCTATTGAAGCAACATTCATGACGAGGGTCATTAGTCAGAGCGTGATGTCAGTCCTGCACTGCAACAAGTCTGATTGTTTAATGTTCTGTCCCATGTTGGCAAATTATTTCATTACCACAGACCTGCACATCTTTCGTGACTCTTTTTGTGTGCATGCTTGTGCAAGTTATGAACACGTGTGCACAGGGATACTAGTAATAATCCATAACAACACTTGTGACGGTTATTTCTTGCACACATGAGGAAAAATAAACCTTTTTTTTTTTGTTTAATTAATTCAACACATATTTATCTTGACAGTCATTTCTTACTCGTTAAGTCTTGCAACTATGAATATAATCTATAGTCAAGGACACTGGCTGAGAAACAGGGGTAGGAAGGGACGTTGAGGAATTTTTAACATCAGCAGAATACTTTAGTTTCAATTCCTCATATCCCTAAACCCTGCCTGTGGCACTTTAGCTGCTCTATCTGGACTGTAGGAGAGACATCAGGAAATGAATGCAACATTGCTGTGAAGTCAGCTGACAAAGGCTATTGTAGATATAGTAAATAGGCAAAATATATTGTATGTTGCTTGACAGGTGTTTGCTGCTCATATGGCTACCAGGTGTTTGTAGCCAAGGCCAGTCATAAAAAAGGGGATTTCCCGCTATAGGTGATGATCTGGACCAAGCCACAGAGAACCCATTTAAATACACAAACATTGCCCACCCTTGCCTTTCTGTTGAAAGTAATGTCCTGCTAGAATATCACAATTGTTTTTCACAGCCTTACTCACTCAGACCCCTGGTGTGCTCAAGTTCATGTTCTGGCATATGTCACTGTCACTGTCAAGGCTCACAAATAGCACAGCCAAGAGAATAGTACGGATGTGTGGGAGAGCACAGAGCGCAATCAGCAGAGGTGTAGCTTTTAAAGTAATACAGTGTAAGCCCACACACGCTTCCTGCTCAGAGTTTTCAATAGACCATGGCTCATCCTCTGAGTCATGCTTTAATGCCAGAAAAAAACGTGTGTAGGCTAGTTTTCTCGACAAAAGTTAAGTTGCATCAAATAAGAATCATAGTCAGTATAGAATTATGTAAAGTACATTGTTATTTTTGCTGATCCCACTCGGTTTGATACGGTTAGGTTAATGCTAAGCTATCTATGAGCCTGACAGGATTGAATATAATGTGCTTTATGACTGCCAGTGCCATAGCGATGTTTAACCAATCAGGTGTGCGGGGATCCGTCAGAGTTCCCGGCTGTACACCGTGTGCTAATTGGCAAAATTGCAGCTGGAGGTTCTGGGAAAATGAGTCCAGTGCCAAACGGCTGCACCAGGGGAACGCTGAGGAATGTCTGAAGGAAGAGAGCATGGAATCTTAGAAATGAGGGTCTTAAGATACAATGGGGAGGGGCGTCTCAGACCAGTTGAGTGGAGCCTGCGGTGCAGTTGAATGGATGTGTAGACAAACGGAGAGATTTAAGGACAAGTTCGTGGATGCTTCTTTGTCCTTTGCCACAAGAGCCTGAGAGGATGTGAGATTTATAGACAAGTTCATCCATGAGGGGAGTAGTGGTGGGACATCCCATTATTCTACCTCCACTCTTTCTTTGACTTCCTCCTCTCTCTCACACACATACACACGCACATTAATTTGAGCGTTTAGTGTTGTGTTAAGATGGTGGATTCATTTATCCCATCTGGCTGCTGAGTGGAAAAGCTTCGCCTTCCGAGGGATTCTTGGCTTGTGCTCTGGCAGGCTTTTGAGGCTGACTTTTATGTGTGATATATTTTCAAGCACATAAGTGTGTTTGTTTGTCTGTGAATAAATGGCCTGCTGTATTTGACTGAATTTAAAAGTAATTCTTTGTCACTTCTGGGTGTGGTGTCTGTGCCTGTGTAAAAGAAAACGATGCCATTGGTGACTTATGGTGGATGTGTTCTAGATGGAATTTAGTCAGCTCTTTATTAAGAACATTTCTCTCTTTGCTACGTCCTTTTTAAGGTAGTATTACAAAATAGGGAGTTTCTTAGGCCAAGTGTCAATACTGGAATTTCTTATTTCAATACATTACCTACAAAAAATATCGATATTTGATAACATTTTTGAAACCCAAGGGAACAATTGGCATCACAAAGGGAACATTACATTTGAGATATTAGTTTTTAAAGATAACAATTGCAAGGCTATAGCCTACAACATGACAAGACGACTTTTCACTATCTGTATAGTAGAAGAGAAAAGGAGAATAATTATAATACACCTTAAAAATAAGTTAAGACAAATGTCGTAGTGTGCATGTTTATTTGATCAAAATTGTTAACTATCTCAAAATTAAAAGTTTGTTAAAGGAGATGTGCTTATCTTATATGATCAAACAAAAAAGCTCTGGATCCACTGCTATAGTGGACAGTAGTAAACTCTGGCTAACGGTTGAATTGAAAACTCTGGATAGCTGTTATATGTGGCATATTGTCCAGCAAAAGCGTCTACTTGGAGTTTTGACAAATGGTAAAGGTGAAGGGGGATAGGAGGGGTGAAGGTTTGGCTGCTTGTTTTGCTGCCCCTCCCCCAACTTAAAGCAAGCAGTCAGTCCACTGAATATTTGCACTGTGATGGAATATGGGACTGAAGCCAAAAGCAGAATTGTAGCGGCCCAAATGGCAAAGAGGTTACTATGAAAACTAGACATTTCTGTTCCCAAACACGGAAAGAAAAAAGAGAATGGACTTTTAATGCTTTTTGTTCACATTTGGCAAAAAGAAATGTGAGCCAATAAAAAAAAACAAGAGGAAGAAAATGCCCTTGACCCAGTGTGTAATCACGGAAAAGTCCGGAAAAATCACGGCACATTTTCCTGGGAATCTTATTCCTGCTGTCGTGAACTTTTTGAAGTAAACATTGACAGAAGAAAAGCAGAATTTGATTTATAAGAACCTTCACTTTTTCATGTCAGTAATTTGAGGGCATGACTACTTTATTGTGTTTTTATGTAAACAAAAATAGCTTACATAAGAGTAACATTCTTCTGCTTTCTAATAATATCCCTCTATTATCTCTAAATCTTCTTTCCAGCCATTGGGGCCCCCCCGATGATGTGTCCTCCGTTGTGGCATTAGGAGAGGCTTTAGTTGAATTATATATAACCCGGTTGTATATTGCATTACTGAAAGTCTATAAGAAGAAACATTTTGAAGGTAATAAATGTAACAGTGTGTTTTTGGAGGAGGCAGCCGCGTGATGTGTGTTGGATACAGTGGGAACAGAAGTTTCTTTGTCAGTGTTTCGAGCAGGACCTGGGCAGGGCCACGGTCCTCTGCTGCGCTCTACTTCTCAGTCTCCAGGGAGTTTTTCTATAAAAACACACACTCACACACAAATAGCCTGATGCACAAACATCTTCACACTAAAAGAGAAGCTTGTGATCTTGATTTTATCTCCCTCTGATGCCATCGCCCCTTCTATTACTTTATATTGGTAGTTCATATCCTCATCCGATTGATTTAGCAGCCAGTTGACTACCCATTACACTCAGCAGTGATAGGAGTTGGGACTTGTCTCAGTCCACAAGTCGGTTTTCATATATGTCATACAGTGCTTGCTCAGAGGGAAAGATGGAATTGGCGAGGAAGTGGTGCGAAGAAAGATAACGTCACAATGTCAGTTCTCAGAGAAGTAGTGTTATGTTGCATAAGCAGCTGCAGATAATTAAAAAAAACGTTGATCACATGGAAGCCTTTTCATGAGCTGTCCAAAGTCAAAGCAGAGATGATGTAATGTGCCTGGCATGCTCTCATGTGATTTGCTCTGGTATTCTTCACCCAACAACACACAGGAGAGAAATGTGTTTCTGTATTTTGGGCTGTTATCAATGTCTTGTGTTTTTTAAACATTGTTCTCTGCACATACTTCTCATCCTCATCCATCCACTCATGAGTGGATGGATGAATATTGAGAAGACACCAGTATTTTTATATGACGCCATATTGACTGTGTGTGAACATTGTGATTTTTATCAGTCTTTAAATAATTACACACTTCTCAGTCGCTGAGCCAAGTCAAATAAGCAAATCTTGTTATATGTCCCCTTTCAGTGAAGCAGCCACTACCCTGCTTCCTGACTTTTGTGAAAGGATTTTTTTTCTGTGCCTCAATTGCTTTTGTCTGCATTCATCTGGATCATAGCCTTTAAAACTCATTCTGTATTGATAGAATGAACTAAGACTATAAACGATATAACATTCTGAATAAGTATTTGATTCACTGTGGATTGATGTGTTGTTTCTATATCAGTATGTGTGTGTATCAATTTAAACATGACATAGATGTCTATTTCCCTGTGACTTTTCCTGACTCTATCATGCGCTGTGTTTGGTTCCAGGAGTGTGTGTTAAGTGCAACAAGACGGTGTATGGAGCCAGCCAGGCCTGCCAAGCTATGGGCAGCCTCTACCATGACAGCTGCTTCACCTGCAGCGCCTGTAGTAAGTGTACACACACACACACACACACACACACACACACACACACACACACACACACACACACACACACACACACACACACACAGCAAAACTTCACTTAATCCTACGCTGCCATTCGAGCACTTTCACCTCCTCTCTTCGGTCAATTCACATGGAAAGCTCATGTCACCCACTGACTAATAGGCTGCCAAAGACCCTGTGAATTGAAAGTGGTACCTTCCTCCTTAGTCATTCACTGCCCCCGAGCAAAAACACACAATCATTTAGGGATTACTGTCCTGTACTGCCGGTGTTTGGTTTCTGGGTGTGCCAGTCATTCCTCCAGACCACACAAAGACAGACGGAGCAATTCAGTCAATACATAGCACCTTGTACTCGTTAGCTACAGGGCTTATTTGTTTAGGAAATACGTTGGCAACAACAAAAACAATATCTGTTCTCTCTTGGTTTTAATTGGCAAAGGAACGATGCAGTTTACAGAAAGCATTAAGTCAAACAAACTGCACTTCTGTTTAACTGACCAATTAGATAGACACAGTTATCAGTTGAGTGTCATCACCATTGTGTGTGTGTGACCTGTAGCATAACCCGGTCCACCGTGAACCCCAGCCCTCGCTGTAGCATGACCTACCTTTCTGCTCCAACCAATTACAATCTCTGTTCAAATGATCAGATTGTAGGTATGCAGAGTATGTCTGTGATGACCTCTACTCAGTGTCATTATTCTGCAGCACCTTTGACCTTGCTGGTTGCGCCCCCAAATGTATGATTAACATCGCTATGTTTTCTTTTACCCTCTATCCTGTGTGTTTATACATATGTGTGTGAGAGCAAAGAGGAGACACATTGTGGCTCAGGTTGAAGCTGATGTCTGAAATGTCTGGGGGTGGGGGGGTTTAACATACCACATACCTCTCATAGCTTGATCCATGTGAGGGCATAGGGGTTGTACATGCTGTGAGCGGCCCCGGGGAAAAGCATCTCAGCTGGGGGTCGGAATGCAGGCATAGGGGCCCTCAGTAGGTCTGGCTCCAGGAGGACACTGGGTGCTGTTATGTCAGCTGGGCGAAGTGAGATGGGAGCACGATGCGGGACAGGGAGAGCATTCAGTGGGAGCTCACCACACACATGTATTCATGCGGTGCCCACACTAACGGAACAGCGTATGGAATGAAGCGTCCCTTCTCATCTTCCTCCAGTCTGTACGTCAAGACATCGGTCACACTTGTTGAGTTGCATAACAAGTCTTTATGACCATAAACTAACTCCCATGCCCTCACTCGACCAGGTCCCCCAAGGTGACAGAGAGACAGGAGAACATTCCTGATGGCTAGGAGAGCGCGGGGGGGGCTTCACTCCAGGCTAATCATTGACTGTATACAAACAGTTGACGGTACAATCCAATTACAGTTGGAGATTAAGCACAAGTTTGTAATCAGGGAAACTTGTTTACACATTAGCCAACTATCTGCGGATATAGAAGGAAAAGGAAGGCAATGGCCCCTTCTTATTTGAGTCTCTCTAATTTATTCCAGTATATTTTTGTGTAAAATGAAATGCAGGTGGAAATGACCTACATATACCTTCCTTATGACCACATTAAGGGTCTTTCTTTAACCCCAACGTGGTAGCAATGTGAGCTATAACTAGAGTTTGTAAGGAACAGTGGTGCAGCTTTTACTTTTATTCATATCAGCACCATACTCCAGCCAGCAGGCAGGCTTTGGAGAATACAAACAAGGATCTGATTGGTCCTGACACCTCTGGTTAACATCTGGTGGGTAGCTTGTCAGGACCTTGACCAAACATCCCAGGTGCTAGTCACAGTCATTAAGACCACCAAAATTACTTTTGGTTTATTTCTTATTGAGGTAAACTTAGTATACACATAGATATGTTAAGAGTTGAGACTGGATCTCAAGAGCAAAATGTCTAAAAATGTGAAGCTGTTTTAAAGGAGATGCTCTTTTACTGAGATGTCTCACTCCATTAATCTACTCACAGGAAGAAACAGGGTCCTGATTACGAAGCCATGGCAGGGTCGTTGTGATGTTCTAATTTCCTGAATGGGATTACATAAAGGAATTCATAGAATGTTTTAATTAGAAAATTGCCTTGTGTTTAGTTCTGTCCCTCAGGTATTTTACATTTTGATGGAAGCGCAAGTCACAGTCCTTTCCGGTGCTTTTGAAATAGTCACTCTTGACTTTAATTAAGCTCTTATCTTTCCGCAAAGCTCAGAGCCTTCCCTCTGACTCACTGGGGGAAAAAGAGAGGAATGTGAAGAGGAGGGATGGCTCATATCTCACTTTCATCCTCTTCATCCTTCCCTCGTTCCAGGACTGTCAGTAATTACCCGAGGCCAGCTCCACACCTAGGCCTGATCGAGATGACTCGCCTTTTCTTAAGTTGGTTACTGTGTTAGCCATGGCCAGACCGTGGTTCATTATTATACTGTTAAAGTAACAGCATGTCATTGTGAATAACTGGTTCGGAGAATGTCATGCGCCGTTGATATAAAAAGATGAATCATGAGGTTTCACTTAAGACTTCTTGTTTTCGTCCCTACATCTAATTCCAGCTGATTTCATCAAAATCTACAGATTTCTTTTTGGCATATTTACCAGAGAAGAGTAGGGTCAGCCTCTTCAGCTGAGCTCTGTTTACTAGTCTAAAATATGATGTTTCTTCACATTGTAGGTAGGTGTACCAGGGGGGAAATCCTGAGGGTGAAATCCTGTGGAACATGAAGGACTGCTTTTAGCTAATACAGCATCAAAGTGCTTCATAGCATGGATTTGAATATAATCATCTGCCATTTTCATGATTGCCTATGATGGCCTACTCCCAGGTTAGCTAGAAAACAAAGGTGTGAAGGGTGTAGCAAAACGATAGACATCATCTAATAGTAATTCCTGTCATGTCACCCAGCCTTACTATTTCCAAAGAAGGGATTAACCAAAATAAAATGCAATACTGACTACGTGTTGACTTCTGAAGAGAGCCCTGTACCGCGGTTATAGCTATTTCTGCATTTCCTGCATGTCTTAAGAATGAAACTGTGAAATTCCTCGTTGCTAAATGACTGTGAGACTATCTTGATCCAAGCGATCAGGTAAACATGAGAAGGAGCATGGGAGATAAAGAAGGCTCCTGTTCACCAAGGTTAACCCCTGCAGTCCCCACATTCACCCCCCCCCCCGCCAGGAATGTTTTCTCTTCCTGTGGGACCTGGGCAAGAATAGCTATGTGAAGTGGTTTTACTCTGTGTGCATGTGTGATGTCACGTGTGATGTGTAATGTGTGTGTGTGTATGTGTGTGTGTGTGCTGTTATGAGAAGCCAGCTCCAGACCATAGAACTATTAAAGCGCACAGACAGACAGGAAGCACACGCAGCGTGTGGAGAGACCCCAAAAAGGAACAAAGAAGAAGAATAGCAGGTCGCTGTAGGTCTTGGCCTGGAAATGTAATAGAGCAGAGTGTTTAATCTCTCGCACCTGTCTACTAATTGGATTTAATCAGCTTTATCCCCCATGTGATCCAGATGTGTTCCTTGTCCTACCTCAACACACTCTGTGTCCCAGCAATATTATATTAAGACACCACAGGGTTGATAAATCAATTTAGCGAAAATTAAGGCTATTACAAAGTATTAAACGGCATTTTCCAAGGTATTACATTTTGAATGTAATCATTGCTTGGGTGTGTAGTGTGATTCTGTGTAGTTTATTTATGGCATCCCGTTGGATTTGACGTCATCTGAACAGGACGTTGCACGCTCACTGCTTGATAGCGCGAAGCTCCGTTTACGCCAGTTGTTAAACAACATCCTTATGGGGAAATGCAAGTTTGCGTCCAAATGGTTGGAAGACAAGGAGGAAGGACAATCAATCCTGTAAATAGTCAATGTGAGGTGAAGTGTGTCGCCAATGTAACCGGTTAAAACTCCAAGTGGCGATGAGGTCTTAAAATGTATGGAAAGGGTCTTAAAAAAAGTCTTACGGTATTACATTTAACTTCAGGATTCCTGCATATACCCTGCACCAGCTCACCTGAGATCCATTTGTTTGATTTATCTACCCGGGATTCAGCAGGATATAATGAATATTGCAAGAGGGTCCATTACCTTCCAATGGGTGTAATTAATCACCACGGTCTTTATGCATTAGTGCCGTAACTATTTTCTGAGACCGGTCTCATGGCTTTGATTTACTAGGAAGACATTTCAGAATGATATCATTGAGTCGACATACCTTTTCTCATCTCCTTTAATCTACTTGTTGTAATTCAATAATACAAATCATTCTCAAGAGTCCAAGGTGCGGGCCCTGCTGTATTCCTTGAGTGAAATTATGCCAATGGTCTTTCCTGTGTGTTTCTGCAGGTCGAAGGCTGAGAGGGAAGGCGTTCTACTATGTCGGAGGAAGGGTTTTCTGTGAAGAGGACTTTCTGGTGAGCGGTGGACACACACTAAATCTTTCATTAACCACATCTGAGGAATGTGGTGTTGTGACCTTTGTTGCTTTAGCTTGAGATTACACACAATACCTTTTGAGCTGTATGCCACATCTCTATCGTCTCAAGTTTTACAAATCTCTTCAGTTTTACGATGAACAAGATGCTATTTTTGCTTTAATCAGGTGTTGCTCACACACTTAAATGCAACCTAATATCAACCTGTCAGCCTTCAACGTAAATACAGAATATCGGGGACAGGGATTGACCTTGTGGCCCAGTTTTTTCACATCTAATGCAGCCGATTCCTATCAGTTTCCTCTCTTGGGTCAAACTAGTAGAAGGTCAGTAACTGGAGAAGCTGCTTTGCTATGGTTTATAGGGTAGAGGGCGGACTGGCCGTTCACACAAATCACTGCAGGTTCTTTACAAAAATGGAAAAACATTCATTATGCATAAATATAGAACATCTTTTTTACACAACATTGAAACCCCATATTTGTATCCCAACTCACCCTTGTATTCCCTCCATCAGAAGCTCTGTGTGTGTTTATCTCACGAGCCCTCTGTATGAAACCCCATCTAATTGCCTTTCCACCAAAAGCTCTCAGTTGCTCAATTAAAATCAAAATGTATACTAAATAAAATGTGCTCTGGCTCTTTTCCCTCTATGTGCTGTTAATTACATCTGCTCTACTGCCAGGCCAGTCCGTGTGGCCTCTCCTCACCGACACCGCTCACACATATTAACACAGAACAAAGCTGAATGATCAGTTAAATGCCAATCTGAGGAATTACACCATATTCACATTTGCAGACAGCAAACTGTACTGGCAGTTATAATTGTTTTGTTCTGTTAGAAGGAAATGTGTTATTTAAATCAGTTTTAAGCAAATGTTTTAGTACACTACATATGGCTACTTTGGATTTTTCCTGGGAGACATTTTGAAGCAGTTTGGTCTTAAAAAGAGTCGGAGAGATTTTAGTCATCCATGAAATAACCAAATTCCAATGACCTCACTGTCGTCTTCTCTCTGCCTGTTGAAGTACTCTGGGTTCCAGCAGTCTGCAGACAAGTGCAACGCATGTGGACATCTGATCATGGACATGGTGAGTGTCTGTTACTTCTCTCCGGTTGTGTGTATGTGTGTGGGGGTCCAGGCCAGGTGACGTCAGCAGAAATGTTGAGTTACCTCATCTTAGAGGAGCTTTCTGTGGGCACATCTGGATAAAGACTCAGGCGGAAGCATTGCTCTGCACATGCATCCCATTCTGTCTCACATATACACACTCACACAGGCTCATGGGTAAAAACTAGGGCTGTCAAACGATTACAATTTTTAATCAGATTAATCACAGCTTAAAAATTAATTAATCATGATTAATCACCATTCGAACTATGTCCAAAATATGCCATTTATTTATGTATATTGTTGTGGGAATGGAAAGATAAATGAAAGAAGGCGGATATATCCATTTAACATACAGTATCTATGTTTATTATAACATTTTTCTGCGTGTCAAAATGAAAGACAACCCACACACCTATCAATCATCAAACCGTGGGGTCTTAATTAATTACAGTGTTGATTTCTATCAACGGGGAAGTACTTTAGGAAAGTCGACAGAGGAGGGGGGGCGGCTAGTGGAGTACTTTGTGACCACAGAGTGTGAACGTTGTGATCAGCTGACGTTAACAGCAGCCCTGTCTGTGCACACGGAGACCGACTCTGTCGTCCGGTGATCTAACCGCCTTCTGGAAAAGCTTCACAAGTACGTCGGTACGCAAATGCGCTTTGTGACACAAGTGACGGTACGCATTTCAGAGAGATTACGCACATAACCTGCGTACCAGTTATGTGCACCCCTGTACTACAGCAAAAGTATTCTCCGTCGGGACTTCCTGCAACAACACCACGCCGTTATCAAAGATGTTCTATTGAGAAGACGATCACTACGTGACAAAAGTTTTCAAAACCGTGGCTCCTGAAATCAATCTTACTAACTGCTGTCTGTGCAATTTACTCCGCGCGAGTTGGCAGACTTTATTTTGCTTACTTTAACATCATTTTTCATGGTGGGGCTAAGCCATTTCTGGTGTAGCCTACCCCAGCCATACCCTGGCGCTGCCACTGGTGGCACGTATGGGGCGGGCCATTCTGCACATGCGTTAAATGCGTTAAATATTTTAACGCAATTAATTCAAAAAATTAATTACCGCCGTTAACGCGATAATTTTGACAGCACTAGTAAAAACAGAACACACACACACACGACAATCATGTGATCAAGACAGGAAGTGTCACAGCTTATTAAGGAATTTGTCTACATGGGTGCCCATATGATCTCTATCCAGAAGATGTGATGAAGATGTTTTAATGTTGCTGCTTCATCTGTTCTTTTAACATAAGCATATCACAGCAGAAATCTAAAACTGAAAAAAATTCATAGATTTTTCTTTTAGATGTATTTATTAGGTGTAATCATTGTTATATATGATCCTTAGTATTCTGTAGTGTTCTATTCTTGGCTATAATACCCACAGGGATCATTAAAAATGCAGTTATTGCAAATGCAAAGATTCTTTTTTTTTTTTACACAATAACTACTTGAATTTGATTGGATACAGATAGTGAGGCAGAAGGAATTCGAGGGTTGACCATTATATTTCCCTAATTCCTCTCTTAATAGATCCTGCAGGCCCTGGGGAAGTCGTACCACCCCGGTTGTTTCCGCTGCGTCATCTGCAACGAGAGCCTGGACGGAGTGCCCTTCACTGTGGACACTGAGAATAAAATCTACTGTCTGAAAGACTACCACAGGTCAGTGTCACTTACTTATTAGACAGTATTTTGAAGAAACACAAGCCTTTGATTAGGATTGATCTGTGTTGAATTAGTTCAGCATGAAAAGAATGTTTGGGTTTCTTGCTCTAAGTTGAACTACAGCTCAGTCCCCGGCCCCTTCAGGATCTGGCCGACAAGGGTCAGTTAAATCTCTCTGCCACGTGTCTGACACATGAGAAGTGTATTCAGGGAGGGGGGGGGGGGGAACTGTCCAGTTAGAGGTGTGCAGAGTGGCGTGCAGCCATAGCTTCTCTTATCCAAACACAACATGCTCTGTAAGGACAAAAACAGAGCTTCTAACATCTGAGGTATGAATCTAAGTGCGTGTTAGCCACTTGTAGAGACGGAAGTGAACAGCAGAAGCACCTGTAGCACTCTAACCCCAACAGTTGCAGTCTTCTCCCTGCTGGGACAACATGTTCAGCACAGCCGGGAACATGGCCACGCACTGGCAGCGCTCACATGTTCACCACACTGATTAAATCAGGCAAACCTTATTGTGTGTGACTTTCAGCCACAGTCATGCCCATCCACACTGAGAGGCCCTTTGTTATTCCCTCAGACATCCAGGTGCCAGCCATCTGTGTGGAAAATATGGATTCATTTTTGCTTTTTGTTTTTCTACTTCTCTCTGGATTTGGGGAATCACGTGTGTGAGGGAAAGCCAGCACATCTGCAAACCTGGTATTTCCTGAGCTGAGTCAGGACCTTGAATGTACTGAGTGAACGGGGGAAAGGAGGGAGGGTCAACAGCTTTAGAGACACCTCAAATATGAATTGTGTGTAGGTAGAGAGAAACATGTTTTTGATGGAAGTTCAAACAGGTTTATGAAAATATGTTTCTCTGTGCTCTCCCAGGGTCCTGGCGCCTAAATGTGCTGCGTGTAACCAGCCCATCCTGCCCTCAGAGGTAAGCTTACACCAAACATTCTCACATGTATCTTCTGTGTTATCATATTTTGACATAATTCTCATATACAGTTATTGCGGATGAACCTTTCCAAAATCTGTCACAGGTTGAGATCCTTTTAATTAGATGAACAGGAATAGTTTTGTTCCAAGAAAACACTGAAACTCTGTCACTCACTGGGATTACGTTTTTTGGGATTTGGAAAATGGATATCTAAAGCATTGATAAGTTAATGCTCGGATGATGAGGACAATACTAGTAGTTTTCCATATTGTGTACCCATATCTGTATATTATATGGTTTGTTGGAGCATGCCTCTGGCAGTGTTGTAGTTTTAGAATAAAGCGCTGTCAGAGCCTCTAGCAAGTTCTTTATTGTTATCATATGCACACAAATAACAGAGAAGCAGTCACTAGCAATGAAAGTCTCAGATCTCAGACCCCCTTCTACAAGGCTGTTTGACTACAAAAACTTATCTTTCAATTAAAAGCAAAATGAGAGTCATAGACATACAAACAAAATAGTGCAATAAAATGTTCTAAAATATAAACATTGTTAACATATATTAAAAAAATAAGGTATATTTGCAGTAGACAGTATTGCAAATGAATTGAAAGCAAACAGGAATGTAGTACGTGTAATGAGAAATAATAAATAGTAATTAACATAGGTGTAAACTGTAAGTCAAGTATGTAAAAGGTAAAGGGAGAGTAAGACCTGTCTCAATGCAGAAGGAATATTTAATTCATTCCTGCATAGTGTGATCAATCTGTTTTATACCTCTATCTAAAAACTGTTCACTTTTACCTGAGGACCTTGAACCTTTCACCAGGAGTTCAGCAGATTGTAGACTCAGTGACCCAGACACAGAGCGTGGCTGTGTGAGTGGCAGACAGTTCAATATAGACACTCGACTACAGGTCAGAACAATGTGAGCTCTAATATCTCTGGGCTTTGATGTGAAGTGTTGACAAGGAGCGGGGAAATGTCCCAAAGTAGAGTTGACTTCGCTGGAATGTCCCCTGCCCTCCCCTTTGAGAAACAGTGAGGCTGGTATTTAGAGGAGAGGTAGAGTGTGTGTGTGTGTATTGTGGTGGGGGGCTGTTGTAACAGATGTTCAGGGGAGTTTCCTCTCAGGCTAATATTATAACCAGAAAAAGATGACTGAAAAATAATCGACTCCTCCCTGCACTGTCTATATTTGTTTGCCCGTGTGAATAACAAGCCCTGTTTTTCTGTAGCTTGTTTTTCGATGGTTAATCCAGAAAATGTGATGAAACTTCCCCGACTGTGTAGCAACTGAGCATGCTTGTTGGGATAATTGGCGAACACTTAAACCACAAATGCAATGAAATAGAGACGACAGATCTGGATAAGCTTTTGTCAGAATAAACAGAATAAGACAGTGGAATATCTTTTAGCGACTGCCTTTAAGTGCGTTTGTCTGTCTGAATTTCTTTCCAGGGGTCTGATGAAACCATTCGAGTTGTATCCATGGACAAAGACTATCATGTGGAATGCTATCACTGTGAGGTGGGTTGAATGAAACTACATTACCGTTTCACAGTTTAGTGGCAGTGAGCCAGGCCCCGCTGAATGGCTCATTAAGAGAAATCCAAATGAGCAGATCCCTGATCTTAATTACAGTCTGGCCTGTAACGACATACTGCTGAGGAGAGCAGGTATCTATCTCATCATCTCTATCTCATCATTATACTCAAGTGGCACATTTCTCTTTGCCAAAGGCAGATGTTGGTCTTTCACTTCATAAAAATAAAAATCAGTGGATTTAGAGCAGCTACCTATTTTATTTGTGTTGAAGTATTGAGTGGCCATGTCTTTTGAAGTGGCTCAAAGAAAAGCAACGTCAGATGTTTGTCTATTTATTTTATGAAATTGTGTACCATAAGGCAGATAAAAGACACCTTTAAGGGTTGTGCCTTTTTTCTCTGTCTTCCATATGTACAATTTTGAGATTGGCTAATAATGAGGAGTTTAAATATTTTTTGTGAATGTAAATCAAACCTATCCTGAATGTTCTCTGCACACTTGAGAGGTAATTATTGCTTTCCAAACTGTCAGTGGTTGGAAATGAGGTCAGTACAGAGCAGAAATGAGACCAATTACCCTCTGTTCTTCTGTAAGCTGTCAGAGGATGTTTCTCAGCTCTGTTTCCTATGTACCTTCAGGACTGTAAGATGGAGCTGAACGACGAGGAGGGTCACCGCTGCTACCCTCTGAACGGACACCTCCTCTGCCACTCCTGCCACCTGAAGCACATGGAGCCCGGCTGCTCCTCCCCCGTCCCTGCAGCCGCCTCATACTAACCCTGCAGAAGGTGGAGGGAGACCCCTGGTGGAGGAAAGGCCAAAGTGTTATTATCCACAGCCGAGTGGAAACGTGCAATTCTTGTTGTAGAGGATTGATTAATGCAATGCATCAGATCGTACTTTGGTTTGATTTGTATTTTCAAAGGAGTGTTTATGAAGTTTCCATTATGCCTTAAGAAGTTTGACCCAATAATGAAGTATTGTAATACACCAAAGCCCTAACATGGATACAGTTAAGCATTGCCTGCTACAGAAGGACTTTGCAGAAGTCTTGCCATGTGATTTTTTAAATGTAAATATCATTTGCATTGGCTGTGTAACTATCGACAGACAATTCATATAAACAACTCAGTTTAGATACCTTCAACTTTATATTTACACTACAATTTAAATGCACCCATACATAATCTAAGTCTAATGGTTCAGTTGGCTCACCAGCTAAGATATTGGAAAATAAACTCATATGATACAGTTTCTATTGCAATAACAAACGTTTGTGTACCTACATATGAGGAATATACAAAATCATGGCATAACTATCATTCATTCCATAATTTTCTAATTATATTTCTTATACAAATTCCTGCAAGAATACAATATGAACTTTTTATCATGACCATTCCAAAGAAATGTTAAACAATCTCATAATGCCCAGGTTGCTAAGCCTTTGTGGATTCAGGGCCTACCATTACAGTCATGTAAAACATTTGAATGACTTTCTTTTGTCAAAT